GGCTTTGGTGGTAAGTTTGGTGTCCAGTCAGACCGCATGGATAAGTCAGCCCATAAGTTTGAGGAAAAGCAAGAAAGCATTGGAACCAACTACCAGAGGACCAAGCCAGATATTCAAGGTAGTGTATCTAGACCTGTCTCTATGGAGGATAACACTGACAGTCATTATGGTTTGATTTGTATTGGTACTTCTGTTTTTATATATACATTTGAGAAAGCACTGGAATCCCCAGGAGTCAGCTGGGAAGTGAAGGGAAAATTGGTATTAATGCATACATATTGGTTAATCAGTATTAATCCACCTTTTCTTCAGCTTCAGAGAAGGCCTCTAACCTAAGAGCACGTTTTGAGAACCTTGCTGCGAACCAAGAGGAGGAGAGAAAGAAGCAGTTGGAGGAGGAGAAGAAGAAGAGATATGAGGGAGACGCTGCAATCATTCAACAGGAGAAGATGAGGCTAGTGCAGGAACAGCAGGAGGAGGAGGAGCGGCTACGCAAGAAGAATGCGGATGAGGAGTACGTGAGGGAGCAGGTCAAGCAGAAACAGTTGGAAGCAGCAATGAAGAAACAGGAGGAGGAGGAGCAGCTGAGGCTTCAGCAACAAGAACAGCAGGAAATGGCCAGAATTGCAGAGCTGGAGAAGAGGTGTGTTAAAAAGATAGATAACTTTGCTACTGCACTGGTAATGGAGTTGATGTTAGTATATGTAGAATAAAAGTGGGGCATCATAACAATATGTTCTTAGAAGAAGTTCCTACTTCAAAAACATACATTCATGGTAAATTATCTGCTTTTGAAGTCATTGCATTGCTTTAAAAATCCTTGGTTCTCTTCCTGCCCTGATGGTGTGGAACTTCTCCAAGATAGCTCTCATGAAGCAAACACAGTGTGGGCTTAGAAATAGTGACAGACTGATGTGTGATTTCCTCTGACATGCACCAGGGAAGCAGCGCTAAAGAGGCAGCAAGCAGAGGAGGAGGAGCGGAGGAGACAGTTGGAGCAGGAGGCAGCATCGTCAAGAGAACAGGTAAGTGAACTTGGTCAGAGGCTGTGCGTCTCAACCCTGCCTGCCCTCCACATGCAAGGTCATGGCCATTGCACAAAGTTGCAGTCTCTTTCACAAGGATCGCAACATTTGGTTAAAACTGCACATAATTATATTTCTTATTTTTATAGTCGTGGACAAAAATGTTGTGAATGATGAAATAGTAGTTTGAGAATGCAGAAGTGAGAGAAATTTTTCACTTCATTTTTTATTACTATTCTTTTATATTTGTTTATTTATTTATTTATTTATCTGTTATTATTGTTTTTTTATTTCCACTTTTTGTCCTTCCTGCACTGGCCTAGATTGTTTCCCTGGTTGACCCTGTTGTACCAGCCCAAGTTACCCACTTTGCCGCTACTAAATTGTGCAGTTGTGAACCAGAGTGAGCCATGCACCACACCCTTTGCCATGCCATGTGTCTATTATTCTTCTGTAAAGATGCTTCATTACTGTGTTGATTTTATCTTCCAAGAGAGTTTTGTGGTTACTTGTAGAAAGTAATAACGATACTTGTATGAACTGATGTGCAGTACATGCTTGGACGAAAGTGCAATTCAACTTTGGGTAGACTTTGACTTCTCATTCAGTTGAGTATTGGGGTGAAAAACTTGTGAAAAGAAGCCTGATAAGTAAGCAGTGTTTATAAAACTAACATTCAGGTGCACATATTTTTACTTAGTAAATATCAGTACAGCTGGCCAGCAATAGTGCAGTCTCCAAGGAAAAGTCTAGTGCCAGTGGGGAAAGAGAGGAAGTCTCTCAAGAGATTAAAGCTTCTTATGTCTTCATTTGCTCTTGATGAGGGACAGAACATGTCATGAATAATAAATATATCTATATCTATATATATATATATATATATATATGTATATATATATATATATATATATATATATATATATATATATATATATATATATATATATATATATATGTATAATTTATTTATTTCTTTATTTTTTTTATTTATTTATTTTTTTTTTTTGTAGAAGTTTTCACTTGTCTTTTATGATACAACTTTTTAAATCACAGTCTCTTGGATATTTTAGCATGTTTACTATATACTTCATTATACAGATTCTCTGTAGTTATCATTTAAAAATCTTCCATTTCAAAGATTATAAGGAATATTGATATCATGTTATTAAGAACTTTTACATCTCAGATTTTTAAAAATATGTTTAAATTAATCTGTATTTGTATAAACAGTTTAAAGTTTAGATAATGGCATTATCAGCAGTTTGTTAGATTTTCACTTCTGATCTTTAATGCAGATGTTGCTATAAGCAAGCATGTTAGCTGCTAAAGAAATCATGTACAATGAACTGTTAAATTAACATTATCACTTTCATGGACATAAAATTCACACACTGAGTTACTTCTTAGCAGGTCTCCTGACATCAGTTTATATTTGTGAATTTTCTTGATTGACTGTGTAACTTGAACTGATCAGTGGATTGTTTTGCCTGTGATTTACATCTGACCTGATGGAGATATTATGCCCCATGTCAAGAAGCCTAATTGGCCCACTCCTACAGTGGAAGCAGACAGACTTTATCTAGCTCTGAAGCGTAGTACTTGGCCTAATGTTTAGGAGAGAAACCAGATGTGGCACTCACTGGAGTGTATTTTTTCAAAACTAGAAGTGACTTGATGGAATATTGTCTTGTAAAAGTTAGGATCACATTTTTTTGCCAAATTGTTGGCAGTTCAAAGATTTCAGGGTTTAGTGACATAGTCTGTTAGGTGCTGATCTCAACAGTCTTTGTCATGACCTTGCATGTTCCACATGACAGGGTAATTTGCCCAATCTGATGCCATCCTGCATTTGCTTGCTGCTATGCTGTTGGCTTCTTCAACTACCAGATACCTATGTGGCCAACTCTTTACCCCTATGTTGCCTTCAGCTGAATTCTCTCTCACAGAATTGACTTGAGAACACTGGATGTCATGCATTCAGCTAAGACAGATACTACTGAAACACTGTTGTTGTATTGGTTTTGAATGCAGGTGGTTTAAAGAACATCAGGTTTAGACTGGAATGATATCCTTTTGCAAACTGAAGCTCTCTGATGAACTGATTGTGCCACATTAGTATTACTAATATCTTTTAGTGAAGTTCATTCAAATGAACTATACAGATCAATAATAGTCTCTTATATTTTCAAATGAAACTGGACTCTTAAAAAAACAGCACAAAGATTTTACCGGTTGTTAAATGGAAGAGATGTCTTTAAACTAATTTACCAGTATCCAAGTTAATGATCAAGGGAAATAGCTTTTCAGATAGTAAAATCACCATCAGCCCGTAGTAGATATGTGTGGGGGTCATCTTTACCTTTACAATTTGAATATATGTACTGTACTGTATTGCTAGAAACTATGAAGAGATGTTTGGATGTAAACTGGAAGTAATTTTTTCTTTTTCTTTTTTTTTCTTTTTTTTTTTTCAAATTCATTGTTCAAAAATGGGTTTGCTTGCTGTGGATTTAGGTTTGAACCCTGTTGTTCCACTAGAAAATGTAATTCTGTGCACACTTGTAGAATAGCTGATTTGATGTTCTGTGCTAGTGTTTATTCCTTGGTGCAAGTGGTTGTCTGTAGATCTTTGTTTGTAATGAGAATAATAATTTTTATTATTCCTGTTTTTACAAGATTATAATTGTTCTTTAATTTTGATATGAACTTCTCTGAGCTTTCCTACATTCTTTCTAGTTTGGGGCTTGTTTGATAAGTAAGGCTCTATATTTACAGTTTTTATTAAGCTTTTTTTTTATTGAGTACAGACAAGTAGTTTTGGCATATAAAATAAGTTAATGATCGCCATTCTGTGATGGAATTTTAGCCTTGTCCAGGTTGATGGAAAAGGGTTCTTCAAAAGGGAAAGCTAATAGTGTTGGAATTGGATGAACCCATTGGGAACATATAATGTTCACTGGCTTGCCTTCACACATAGATGGAGCTCAGCCACCAAAGAGCCAGTTGGTAGGCCTATGTGATTTTCAAACACTATTAGTATCTGTTATTAACCCATTTGCCCCGGATTTATGTTCTGTCCCCTGTAGTTTTTTGTGAATGTTAAGTAGAACAGTGAAGTACAAGAAGACATATTTGTGTGTTTTCCTGTACTTCCCTTCATTATTCTACTTGCTATTTGCTCGACTTGAATTCCACACGTGAATGTTGTTACATACAGATGGCTCCACATGTGCTCAGTCGGCAGTTGAGTCTATCAGTAGCCCTAGCAACCGATCCTGATTTCCCCATTCCTTGAATTGGCAGGAAAAAGTGGTTTTCTTTTTAATACAGTTGACATCGATACTGTTATTATTGTTATTGATGTTATGATTATTAAATTGTCATTAAAATCTCAATAACATTTAAGACAATAAAATAATGCAAAAGAGTCCAGGAGAAGGGCAAACAGGTGAGATACATAGGACTAATAACAGATTCCTTGGTGACTAAGCACTTGTAGGGCCATCTATGTGTAATTACAATAAATAAACTTGTATTACATTGGGCATGGCATGTCTTGCCATATGGGGCGATTGGGTTATCAATACTATTAACAACAAAAAGAAATAAAGGTATATACGTATATGCAAATCAAGGAAAAAGGTAAACAGGTGAGATAGAACTAGTGATTAACTCCTTTGTGACTAATCACTTGTGGAAGCATCTATATGTAAACACAAGAGATAAACAAAATTCACAGAAGACTGGCATGTATGTAAAGGGCATCCCTGATGGCATGGGTTAATGAAATGATTCTGGAATGTACATTTTGTCAGGTGAATTGGAGGCTATGGCCATATTTTGATGGGCATAGTTGTATATACAGAGTTGTATATACAGAATGTGGGTGGTGCAAGGCTGCCTGGATGCCTTTTTAATAAAATAATAACAGGCATTTTGAGATAGATTTTGTTGGCTGGGAATTGACAAGGAAATTAATGTAGATTAGTTAAGATTTTCTCATGAACATTTTTGCCATATTCCTGGTGTATTTAGGGAAAAACTTATTTTTCTCTTTAAAAGTGAAGAATTTCACTGTCAATGTTGTGGGAGCATAAAGAAATGTATGGATGCACTATTGGACTGAAATTTTACGTAGTACTTTACCTTAAAAGAGGAAATGTTTAACAGCCTTCATTTTGTAGGGTAACAAATGTACATGCTTTAAGAAATTTGCTGTGATAGATATCATGACTTTATTTTCTATTTAATGATGTTATCACACTACTGCAATTAAGTTATAATTTCTCTTGTTTAGTTATCCAGGATGAAGTAGCCCTGTACCTGATAACCATTTACTAACCCTTTGGTGCTCAGGGGGATGTATACATGCCCTATCCATTATGGTTTGATTTTGTTAGTTATGTTTACCCAAGATGGCTTTACCTCAGATGGCTGCACAAGTGCCAAGTCACCAAGGAGTCAGTTCCGAGGTGCACCTGCTGGCACCTGTTTACACCACCATTTTTTTTAGAAATATATATATATTTTTTTATGTTATTGTTAACAACGTTATGGTAATGCCAGCATTTTGATAGTAATGATAAGAGAAGGATAATGATGATAATGATAATAGTAATTATAATAATAACAATAACAATAATAGCAATGATGACAGAATTAATGATAATAGAAATAATGATAATAACAATAATAATAATGATAGAAATAATGATCATAATAAGGATGATGATAATGATAATAATAATGATAATGATGATGATGATATTGGTAATGGTAATGCTAATGATAATAGATAATGATAAGAGAATAATTATGATTATAATAATAATAATGCAAACTTTTCTTAAAAAATGAAGGAATGGAGTGAACAGTTGATGTCAGTTAGGCCTGTTAATTGGCTCCTTGGTGACCAAACACTTCAGAAACTGTCTGTCTGTAAATTAGATATGTAAAATAAAGAATAGTCAGTGCATGCACCCAGCACCAATGGGTTAATT